CTTGGCAACAGTGATCCATGCGATGGTCACCTCGAGACTGGACTACTGTAATGTTCTCTACATGAGGCTGCCCTTGTCTCAAATCTGGAAGCTGCAGCTGGTGCAAAATGCTGTGGCCAGGCTTCTGATGGGGCTCTCTATATGGGACCATATCCAGCCTGTGCTAAAGGCATTGCACTGGCTGCCAGTAGCATACCGGATTCATTTCAAGGTGCTGGTTCTTACCTTTAAAGCCCTTTGTGGTGTAAAGACCTACATACCTGAGGGACCGCCTTTCCCCACATGTTCACAGAGAGCACTGCGATCAGGGGCCCAGGGTAGGCTGTCAACAACCAGGACCAGGGCTTTCTCAGTGGTGGCTCTGTTCTGGTGGAATGAGCTCCAGGAAGAGATCAGGGCCCTGCAGGACCTTTTCTAGTTCAGCAAGGCCCGTAAAAGGAGCTCTTCGACCAGACGTTCAATAATTAACAACTAACAGCGGGATGAGAGAAGGTCCTGGATTCCTGGAATTTCCACCAACAGCCTAAAGGACAACAAATTCTTCAAGGACAATCAAAAAGGAAGATTGCGAGCCAACTGTGAGTTGAAAGCATTGAATAATGGCTGCCACTATCAAATTAATGCCTACTAGAACTTTATTATGTTAGATGGTTTTAGAATTGTTTTAATTGTAATTTATGTTTTAATGTAATTTATCTGCTCTTATGTAAGCCGCCCTGAGCTGCCTCTGGCTGGGAGGGCGGGGTAGAAATTCAATAAATAAATAAATACATGTCTTTTTGCTTCTGTAATTAGATCACATATATGAAGCTCTGTTAAACATGGATATTGATTTAGATGCGCTAGAACCAGACTCGGTCTTAAATGAAGTGTGGATCAAGCATGTTATTAAGAAATCTGGCATGAAACCTAAATGGGCCAAGCTAAAAGAGGAAAAAGTAAAAGAAAATAAAGATGCTGTAAGGAGGTAACATCTTTGGCTCTTGCTGTATTTGTTTATATCCCTTTTGTTTTCTGTCACTGCTTTTTCTGTCACTGCTTAAGAGAGGCACTGAGAGATACAAAACCCTTTTCTGAAAGGGAGTTACAGTGTTCCATTTAGCCATACATTCTTGATCCTTCCTCTTTCTGTAGAAAGGACACATCTGCACTGGACATCACTGAGCTGTGGCTTATGGATGATGACCACATGCAGAGATTGGTGTTGCTTAGCAACATTAAGGAGCCCATTAAAAAGAGACTGTTAAGGAGAAACCCAAGTACTGTTTCTGTTATTTGGAAACCAAATGCTTTAACAGTGTTCCATTTAGCCATACATTCTTGATCCTTCCTCTTTCTGTAGAAAGGACACATCTGCACTGGACTTCACTGAGCTGTGGCTTATGGATGATGACCACATGCAGAGATTGGTGTTGCTTAGCAAAATTAAGGAGCCCATTAAAAAGAGACTGTTAAGGAGAAGCCCAAGGACTGTTTCTGTTATTTGCAAACCAAATGCTTTATTGTTCATTGCAGGCCTCCTGCAGATCCCACTTTATTAACCCCAAGACCTCCAGTTGTTACCATACTGGGCCATGTTGACCACGGGAAAACAACTCTTCTAGACAGCCTGCGAAAAACTCAGGTGGCTGCAACGGAGGCAGGAGGCATCACCCAGCATATTGGTGCCTTTCTAGGTATGATTTATTTGTCTGATAACCCCCTTGTTTAGGTTTACTCTGCCAACTGAATGTCGTTTGAGGGGGGGAAATGTTATTAAGTGCCAAATGTATCATGATCTGAGTGCAAAATGAAACACAAATGTTTCTTGGGGAAGAAGAACAAGAAGAGATTGGATTTGTACCCCGTCTTTCACTCAGAGCGGCTCATAAATTCCTTTCCCTTCCCCTACCCACAACAGACACCCTGTGAGATAGGTGGGGCTGAGAGAGGAACAGCTCTGACAGAACTATGGCTTGCCCAAGATCATCCAGCAGCTGCAAGTGGAGGAGTGGGGAATCAAACCCAGTTCTCCCAGATTAGAGTCCATACACTTAACCACTACACCAAACTGGGATTGATCTAGATCCAAGGACAGTGAAGGGGAACCGGGCTGCTTCCTGCCTCAAGTTGGTGTCCCATTGATGATCCTTAAAAGCTAGAGGGGAGCTGGGCTCAGATCCTGGGATGTTGGAGGGATGCCTGTCTGCTTCCTGCTGTCCTGTAGGCCTTATTGATGACAGTAGGAAGCAAGAGGGATGGGAGCTGTATACGAGCACTACAGAAGGGCTGAGATTGGCTGAGTTAAGGTATGGAGCCATCTTTCTGGCTAGATTGTGTTGGAAGAAAGAGTTTTTTGAAGCTTGCGTTTACTTGCTTCTCCAGTAGTAATGTTGGATCCAGTATGACCCCCAAGGCTTTTAACTGAATCAACAAGGGTCAGCTGAACTCCATCGAAAGTGGGGAGCACAGTGCCCTTCAAGATCTCCGCTTTCCCAGCCAGCATTGCCTTGTTGGGATTTAGTTTCATTTTTTTCACTCTTGGACATTTAAGCATAGCAGACAGGCAGTGATTCAGGACGTCTACTGCATTACCAGGAGATCTGGATAAGGAGAAACAAAGCTGGGTGACATCCACCTGACATCCTCCCCTCTTGCATGGAGAGCCATTGAAAGTTTCCCAATATGAGGAGCCTTCAACAAAATCTCAATTTGCTGTGATGTCTGAATAGGAGCACCTAGGCAAATCGGCATTTGTTTCTTTATCACCTGAATTATAAATCATGTTGTAGTCATAGTTTAGTTTGTGGGGTGGAAATAAACTCCATTTTGCTCACATTTCTGCATTCAGATGCCATTGCAAACCAAAGTTTGATTGGAAGCCTCCTGGTTAGGGAAGCCTTTGATACTGAGGAAGATGGGACCAGGAATGCGTGACTATGAGAACAAGATTTGTTTGTGCTCAGTTCGTCCTCAGAGAGGGCTTACAGTAGAGCATTGACTGCAGCAGTTTGAGCAGATTTCAGTGTTTAGAAATCAGACATTTGTGTTCAGAAATCAGAATTTTTCTTTATTGAAAAGTTATCGCTACCTTTGCAGAAATGGTGATTTGTACAGAATGTTCCATGAAAATAGTGCAAGGAGCACTGAATCTTTATTCAAGACATTGTGTGTGTCTTTTAATTACTTTCACAGTGCAATTGCCTTCTGGGGAAAAGATCACTTTTCTTGATACTCCTGGCCATGCTGCATTTTCAGCTATGAGAGCAAGAGGTACACATGTCACTGATATAGTCATATTGGTGGTAGCAGCAGAAGATGGAGTAATGAAGCAGACTGTGGAATCTATTCAACATGCTAAAAATGCCAAAGGTACTTCTAATCTGATTCTAAGGATAAAGTTCTACTTCAGCATCCTGCACATAGCCCTGTCTCCTCTCAAGGTCATCGAACATTCCTTATCTTTAGGTGCACAGACAAGAGAGTTAATGTAAGTAGCCTTGAACCAAAAGGAAAGGCAGGTTATAAATCTCTCTATATTATAAAGCTGATTTGGGGTGGCAACTCTCCTATGGGGTGGCAGGATTCGATTCACGCCAAAATCAGTTGGCCACCTGAACTGCCACTCCAAAACTCTGCCAGTTGCTGGGTGGCCACGTGGCCTCAGTCCTGCCCACATGTCCGGCGGCCAGCATGTTGCCCTTAGTGCTCACACCGCCGCCAAAGATGATGGCCGCTTCGCCACCAGAACGCATGGGACGCTAAGGACGACCACGGTAGTGCCGCGCCGGTCAGCTGGCTGCCCATGGTATCTCCCCCTGCCTTCTCAAGCCCCCACGCCACCTTTCCCTGCTCGCTGGCCGCCGCGGCCGAGCAGGGAAAGACCTCCAGAGGCCCCTGCGCAACCTTTCCGAGGGCCCCACACCATTGTCTTCACCCGATCCCCCCCCTTGCTTCTACAACCACTCGGAGGCCTCCAGGAGGGGCAGGTGGTGTGGGACCTCCAGAGGCCTCTGCACCACCTTTCCCCACCCGGCCGCCGAGGCAGACCTGTGGGGAAAAACCTCCGAGGCTGGCGAGTGGGAGAAGCTGCCCAGAGGCCACCCACTCCCTCCTTCCCCACCTGCCGAGGCAAGCGAACTAGGAGGGGACCGGGGAGCCCTTTACAACCCTCTCCGTGGGTTCTCCTGCCCTCCCGCCGGACTATCAGACTATCAACATCGCTGCATTGAAGGTAATGGAGCATTTCAAGGTCATTATTGTGCAAACTGGGATTTCTGGAAAGTGAAAGAATTATGGTGATTCATCTTGGTACATCAGGGGCACACTGTGTCAAAAGCCGCCCACAGACTCCTGGCCCCCTCCCGGCCTGCCCACCAAACCAAGCGAGCCAGGAAGGGGCTGGGGAGCCCTTTACAGCCCTCCCCATCAGTTCTCCTGTCCTCCCACCGAAGCAGGCGAGCGGGAGAGGCCGGCCAGACGCCCCCTGGCCCCTTCCTGGCCCACCCGCCAAGGCAAGTGAGCCAGGAAGGGGCCGAGGAGCCCTTTAAAGCCCTCCCCGTGGCTTCTCCTGCCCTCCTGCCGGAGTGGGCGAGTGGGAGAAGACAGCCACAGCCCCCCCGGCCCCCTCCTGGTCCGCTAGCCCAGCCAAGCAAGCGAGGAAGGGCCGGGGAGCCCTTTGCAGCCCTCCCCGTTACTTCTCCTGCCCTCCTGCCAAGGCGAGCATGCAGGGGAAGCCACCCAGAGGCCCCCCGCCCCCTCCTGCCCCCCCCCACGCTCACCCAGGAACGATTCCTAGGGCTCATTGCATTCCTGTCCGCGGCGGGCCTTTCTCCTAGTGTTTCGGTTGTTCCATTGGAAATAATTAAGTAGAAGTGATGCAGCAAATAAAACTGCTTCTATTTTAAGGAAAACCTCTTGCTGGAAAAGGAAATCTCTTTGTTTTTGTTTGGATCTTGCCGTTCTCATTTCTCCTCCCTCCCTTTTTTTCATTGCTGTTCTGCTCTTAGTTCCAATTATCGTTGCCATCAACAAGTGTGACAAGCCTGAAGCTGATTCTGACAGAGTGAAGAAAGAGCTACTTGCTCATGGTGTGGTTTGTGAAGACTATGGAGGAGATGTTCAGACTATCAACATCTCTGCATTGAAGGTAATGGAGCATTCCAAGGTCATTATTGTGCAAACTGGGATTTCTGTTTACTTGATTTCTGGAAAATGAAAGAATTATGGTGATTCATCTTGGTACATCAGGGGCACACTGTGTCAAAAGGTAGGATGCAAGTGTTTTCAGTAAATAAACAGTGCAATGTTCATGTGGGCTGTTTTCACAGCAAGATGATGTTCTGAAATCTCTATAGTGTGAAAATCTGTTTTGAACTAGATTGCAGAAAGGGACCAACAAACATTAGGATATAGCATGTTTGCAAACTCAGCTTAGCTCATGAACCTAAAGCTTATTTGATTTTTCCACAAACTAGCTCCAGGTGGATTTCTACCATAAGGTGTATCATTCCATAAATGTTATTATTTAATTAGAAATGTTTATGTGCTGCCTCTCCAGAGGCCAACTTGAGCCAGCTCACAAGGCAAAAATACAACAAAGTAATGTTTTTAAAGCACAAGAAATTATGAATAATCAAACCAGCCAGGAGAAAAAAGGGTGTTTGTGAGACAGTCCTCAGGCTAGGAGCAAACCATAAAAACAGCACTAAAAGATGGAACCCCACAGTTAAAAGTGGGGGTAAAAAGAAATGTTTTGGCCTGCAGATTAAAAAACAAGTCAGCATCAGGCGAGGGCCTTCTAACGATCAGGCTCCACCACTGAAGAAGCCTGGTCCCTGGTTGCCGCTCACCTCACCTCTCCCGGCACTGAAAGCGGGGCTTGGGAAGAGGATCTTAGTGGTGGGATGGACACTACAGAAGGAGTACAAACATTTGTGTGAATTTATTGTTTCTATACAGGAAAAAATCCTCTGATATATAAATCAAACCAAGTTCTAGTTGGTTAATCTGAGAGAGCCAGTTTTGGCTGGTGAGAGAAATTTTTTTATTTGTGAAATTTAATAACTTGAATAATCAGTCATGCATGTTCAAAAACCCAAACAACAAGAAGAGATTGGATTTATACCCCGCCCTTCACTACCCAAGGGAGTCTCAGAGCGGCTTACAAACTCCTTTGCCTTCCCCTCCCCACAACAGACACCTTGTGAGGTAGGTGGGGTTGAGAGAGCTCTTGACAGAAACTGCCCTTGAGAGAACAGCTCTGACAGAACTATGGCTTGCCCAAGGTCATCCAGCAGGTCCAAGTGGAGGAGTGGGGAATCAAACCCGGTTCTCCCAGATTAGAGTCCACGCCCTTAAGCACTACACCAAACAAAAGTTGAGTGTAGAGAAAAAGTGACAGATGCTGATGTAGCTCATGAACATGCAGCTACATTGTGGCAGCCTCTAACTGGTGACTGCAGTTTTATCCCAACCCTAAATTGTCTTCTAGGCAAAACTGAAAGTATTGGGTCTAAATCTATGCGTTCAGGCTCCGTTTTCTTGATCCTGTTGTGATTTTCCACTGAACTCTATGATTGGGCACAGGGTGACAACTTGATGGCTTTGGCAGAGGCAACTGTCGTGCTTGCTGAAATGTTGGAACTGAGGGCAGACTTCACGGGCCTAGTAGAAGGTACCATCATAGAGTCTCGTACAGACAAAGGAAAAGGGTAAGGCACATTGTCATGCATCTTTTCAGTTTCAGCCAGAACTACTAATCTATTGCAGAATCAGTTATATTGGAATTCCCAGCTTTGCTTGAGTATATATTTATTTTAAACCAACAACTTTTGGTTCACCGTTTAAAGCAAGAAAGCACGTACTTTGTGTGCCAGAGGTGTTAGATTCTAATCACGGCATCTCCAGTTTAAAAAAGAAGAGAGGAGAAATCTCTCTGTCAGAGACCCTTGCCAGTCGAAGTAGGTAATACCGAGCTAGGTGGATCAATGTTCTGACTTGGTATAAGGTAGCAACTTATGTTCATGTGCTATGTGAACTTGCTAACATTTCTTGCATTGTGCCATTTAAAAATAACCCTGATCCAGAATATTTGCATCATTGTTATCTGTATATTGTACACTGGTATAAAAACTTCAGAACTTTTGGGGAAATATCCACTGAAATTGATTAATGCATACATTTTCTTATACCTTCTTTTTCCACCGTAAAGGTAAAGGTTCCCTTGCTCGAAAGCCAGTCAAATCCGACTCTAGGGTTGCGGTGCTCATCTCCGTTTCAAAGCCGAAGAGCCAGCACTGTTGGAAGACGTTTCCGTGGTCATGTGGCCAGCATGACTAAACACCAAGGCACACGGAACGCTGTTACCTTCCCACTGAAGTGGTACCTATTTATCTACTTGCAATTTCTTGCTTTCGAACTGCTAGGTTGGCAGGAGCTGGAACTAGAGATGGGAGCTCACTCCGTCATGCGGCACCCGGGTCTCGAACTGCTGAACTACCGACCTTCCACAGCCTGCAGTTCAGCGTCTTAACCACTTGAGCCACCGCAGCTCCTTTTCCACTGTATGCCCATTTATAGTATAATGTTAAGCCTCAGAAAAACGATACTCCAATCAAACTGCAAAATACAGAGCCATTTGAAGTTCACGGTGTTCATATTTGGTGCTCTGCACACAATCATATGGGTGAAATGTTCATCTCTTTTCGGTCTTTAACATCTTCTCAGTGCAATGGTGACACACTTGAACAGAAATGTCCAATTCTTTTCTTTCACAAAACATAAACTGACATGATCTGGCTATGCTTATGAATGTGGAACTAAATGTAATTTTCCTTCTTTTCCCACCCTCTAGTCCAGTGACCACAGCTATTATCCAAAGAGGAACTCTGAGAAAAGGCTGTATTTTGGTTGCAGGAAAAAGCTGGGCAAAAGTGCGCCTCATGTTTGATGAAAATGGCAAGGCAGTGGAAACTGCCTCCCCGGGCATGCCAGTGGAGATTGTAGGATGGAAGGATGTTCCTTCAGCAGGAGAGGTCATACTGGAAGTGGAGTCTGAGGTACCACAATTTTAGGATTTGAACCCAGAAACTGATTCAGACACTGAACAAATGAGTCAGTTATCCCAGACACCAGACCAGCAGAGAGATAAGAGGGGCCAGCTGTAGCAAAGATATTCTGGAAGAAATGAATGGTTCAGGGTGACAGACTGGCTTCAAGTATGGAATACAAGAAAATATTAACATGACTGGAACGTTAGCCAGTTGTAAGCTAGCTCTGTTCTGTTTTGTTAGAACTTCTCTCCCCATTTCACTAGTGTAGCCGACGGGAGTCCTCCTCATTTCTTCCCCCTTTCCCTTTTCTCTCATTCCACTCCATCCTTTCCCTTTGCTGTGAGCTTATTGCCTGTAATAAAGGCTGTGCAGAAGGCCCAGTGTATAGAGCTTCGTCTGCTCTTCTAAACTATGACCAAATGGAGGGAACATTCATATTTAGAAGGAATACACCTGAGTATCTGATGTTGGAAGAAAACAATAAGGGATGGTTGACGCCATCAGGCCCTGGCTGTGAGTTTCTCAGCGATATCTGTCTGGCTCACTGCTGAAGACCTAATGTTAAGCTAGATGGATCCTGCTCTGATCCAGCATGGTAACTGTTGTCTTCTTCTGCTAAGCAAAGGGCTCGTGAAGTTACTGACTGGAGATCCTATGCTGAACAACAGGAGAAAATAAAGAAGGATCTAGAGGTCATAGAAGCCAAACAAAAGGAGCACACAGATGCCTACAAGAAGGAGCGAGAGGGCTTGACCAACATGACCTGGAAGGAGAGACATAATGTCTTGTACAAAGCCAAAAGGCATCAGATGTATTGGCGACCTAAGGAAAGAGTATCCACAACACTGGAATCCCAGGCTTTCCCTGTGAGAGAAACAAAGCAAGTGGAGCCAGGTTTGACTCTGCACACCTTCCTTTGTGTAAAAACTTGTAGGCAGAGGGAAATGCTCTGTGGGGAACTGTGGCAGCAGGGACCATAAAGAGGTCTCCAGGAGGGCTAGAGAGGAAGCTGGAATGAAAGTTGTTGCAATAGACCCTTTAGCAACTGTTAGGGAAGGGGCCATGGAAAGTGCCTCAAAATGAAGCAGCCAGTTCCTTGCAAGGAGATGTTGGGCTCAGTGGGCCTCCCACTTGGGAGTACTAAACTCTCCTATCCTGACATCATGATGTATGGTAGTAAAGGAGACTGTAATGGCAGTAATGGAATCTATCCTATCAGTGATAGCCCTGGCTCCTGGGCCCCAGCTCTCCCACAGCATTTCAATCAGGTGGTTTGAGAAAGTCTGTGGTGGCTCTTTCAGAAATGGGGGGAAATCAGTTAACGGGTGCTGAACAGGTGCAGCTTTGAAAGGTTCCTAATGCCCATCTACTCTCAGCAGCTTGGGAAACCATTGCTGCTAAGTGCAAGAGTCACAGGCACATTGGTAAGAAATCCAGGTTCAATTACAGCTGGCACACTACCCATAGAAAAGCCAACTTGGCTACCTAAGCTAGATACAGGGCAAATAGACCTAGATGGTTTTGCTGGAGTTAGGCTTTCTTACTCTGTACTGAGCAAAACTCTTAATACTGATAGAATCCCAAATCTATCTAAGGTAGGGTTACCATATTTTGAAAAGCAAAAAAGGACATAATTCCCAACTGACTACTTCAAACAAGTGATCCATATGAAAAATCTCATTTTAAATACCCCTACATTTAAGCTGTGATAATTGCAACTAACTAAGAATATTCCTAACCTTCTAACCCAAAAAAGGGGACATTTTCATCAGCTTTTAAAAAGAGCCCAAAAGAAGACAGATACCCAAAAAAGAGGACATGTCCTCTAAAAGAGGATATCTGGTAACCCTAGTCAAAGGGTTTATTTTCTTAAGAAAGACTATGTTAGAGCTAGTGGTAATACAGGTGTGAATGAAAATATAATTTTTCTCTGTGTTACAATCAAGGAATTTATACTCTTGGGTTTGGAGGAAGGTTTCTTTTTTCTTTTGGGAGGCAGGTTACCCACTTTCCATTTTGTTGTTTTACTTCTTCAATTGCTTTAATTTATTCCCCGATTTATTATATGTTCTCTGTATTGTTGTCACAGTCCTTATTGATTTGTGTAAGTTGTTATATGCATGAAAAAAAATGAATAAAAGATGTTTTTAATAATAGAAATGGAGCAAAAACCATTAGGAACCTTTCAAAGTTGCACTTAGCTTCCATGAATTGAATTGAAACTAGTACAGAAACTCCTGGTGGACAAATCTTAGTCGTTGATACTCCATATTTTTTTAAAAAAAATTCTGCATTGCAACTAATACATTCTTGTCCACCCAGGTGATGTTGATGGTTCTGTGGAAGCCATTTTGAATATCCTCGATACCTATGATGCCAATGAGGAGTGTGAATTAGACGTTCTCCATTTTGGGATTGGGGATATAAGTGAAAATGACCTGAACCTTGCACAAGCATTTCAAGGTAGTGAGTGCTGAGGTGATCTGTATGAAATGGTGTGGATCTTTGATGGTTAGGAGCCTTTGACTTTCACTTTTCCAATAGCATAAATGGCTACTCAGTAAACATCTGAGAAATGTGGGATTAAGAAATGCTCTAATACAGAGATTTAAATTAGGTGCACTGTAGTGACTGACTGAATTATCATAGTACATAGCAGAATGGAATGTGAAGCCCTAACCTTGTCATAAGTCAGAGGGGAAGATGCATCCTGACCCATACAATGTAGTTGTGTGCTGTTGTTGTATTTATTTTATTTTATTTAGAACATTTATTAGACACCTTTCTTCCTTACAGAACTCAAGGTGGCTTACAATATAAATAAAATCCATAAAATAGAGTACATAAAAACACATAAGACCAGATGTCTATCTGATGGCATCTCCTAGGTGCTGTATGTGCAGCTTCAGATCCAGGGTTGGAAACCAAACATGCAACTCTTTTTCTTCAATGTTACATATCCTGGATTGGGGCATGAGGATATTGGGTTGGATCCAGTGGAAATTTCCACTGACATAAGGGATCACCATCAGCCCCCTCCCACTGCAGCCTGCAACCCCTCCCCAAAATGCTCATACTGGGGGACTCCAAAAAGCAGCATGAGGGACAAATTGGGGGTCTGCTGTGAGATGGGGGAATTGACATTAGTGGAACTTGACTGGTGGATCCAGCCCATGGACTATCCTAAAGTACATGTCGCTACAAAGAGGAATCTGGTTGAAAAAAATGGTGCAAAAATAAGGTAGTTTTAGTGTTGCATGTTAAAGTGGTTATCTTTGGGGCTGCGTGAACTCTGTACAAGTGCAGCATTTGAATGGATTTGGGAATTCTGGGAGAAGAATTCAGCATCATGACAACTCAACTTTTCTTTTTTATTACAAAACAATTAGATCTCTGTAACTGTGAAGTTTGTCTTGAAACTGCATGTGTAGATCTCAAAACCACAGTGGGATACTTAGGAGGGTTTTCAGTGTTTAGGATACTATGTAACTTCTTATCCATTTCAGTGATGTACAGAATTATGCAAAATAAATGAATGCATATTTTAATAATTCATTCATGTTGTTTAATTCAGAATTTCTTAGTGCCAATTTTGTTGCTACAGGTTGCTACAAAACTTTTTCTTTTCCTATAACAGAGTACACTGGCAGTCCAAGCTTTAGAGTTTAATAAGCATAACAGCTCTTCTACATAAAGTGCTTGTATTTAATAGTAATCTTTAAGAAGCACAATAACTTACATTTATTTTTCCCCCTGACCTGTCAGGTATTGTGTATGGGTTCAATGTGAATGCAAGTAAATCTATTCAGCAGTTGGCTGCTAAAAAGGACATAAAGATTAAAATTCACAAGATCATCTACCGACTGATCGAGGACTTGCAGGAGGAGCTGAGCTGCACATTGCCCAGAACTGTGGAAGAGCATATATTAGGTATCCTCTGAATACCAGTGCTAAAGTCTAACTACAGGGAAGGTTATTGTCTTCAAGCTGCTTGTGGCTTCCCAGCAAGAACCAACTAGTTACTGTTGGGAAACAGGATGCTGGACTACATGGTCTGAACCAATAAGGTTCTTCTAATGTCCAATGGACAGTAGAATTTTTGTAGAGGTGAAACAGACTTTTAAAGCTCCAATATTAATTAACATGATAAGAAACGGTGTGCAGGGCTCTGGGTTTGCCATGGCTCTGAGGGAACAAAAAAATCATGTTCTAACGGATGTCAGATCTGGCTTCCTGAAAATCTTAGCTCTGCCTCTTAAGACTGTTAAGATATGCCTGAAAATGTAAAATAGCAGCAGCATAGCTAAATAATGTTTTCAGGGGTTGGACCTCAGAGACGAAGTGGCTCCTTGCCCCTCCTGTTAAGCACACTACATAATAAAAATGATAAGGCTGACACATTTCCTCAGTTTACATTGAATCTGGAAAACCTAAGTACAGCATCTTCTTATTCTGGAATATTTAATATTGACTGGAACTAGAAAGTAGGTTTTTGAGAACTGCTCTATAATGGGGCATATCCTTTTGAGAAACAGCTGACGACGTTTGATAATTATGAATCTTATGCTTCCATTTATTTTCTGCAGGAGAAGCTGCTGTTTTAGATACATTTGAAGTCACAGTAGGGAAGAAAAAAGTTCCAGTGGCTGGCTGCAGGGTACAAAAGGGACAACTAGACAGAAAGATGAAGTTTAAATTAATTCGTAAAGGAGATGTTATTTGGTCAGGTGAGTGAAGTGACCCATTGCTTGCTAGTTAATTTTAAGGCCTTGTTCTCATCTCTCTTGAGTCATTCAGCATGCTGCTTAGCTATAACCAGGCTGCCATCTGATTGTGATTTTGTGTCCATTTCCCCCCACAAACCTGAAATTTGACAGCTAGTGGTGTGCAAAAAAACAAAAAACAAAAACCCTGGTATTTTTCAGCTCCGGGTAAATCAGACCCAAAAAATATCAGTAAATGCCAAATTTCCCCAATCCAACACCGGTAAAGTATTCGGATTGGGGAAATATTCGGTATTGCCAAATATATTCAGGTCTGATATATGTTAAAATGCCTTCTTTCCCTCTGGTAGCCCCTACAGATTTTGTTGTCAGTTTCACTCCCTGCCAGTCAGCTGTGAGTGAAATTGACAAGGGAAAGCCTTGGCTCTCTGCCTTCCCTTCCCTAGCTGACATGGGGTAGCTGGAGAAGGGCAGGCAGGAAGTCCAGGCATGTTTAAAATGCCTTTCTTTCCCTCCCCGAGATTGGAGAGGGAAAGAAAGGCATTTAAATATCCCCACCCACCCAAGCAGAGAGGCTGAGGGAAGGAAGGAGGCATATTTGGGGGCGTGTCTGCATGCCATGCCGGCCCTCCCCCAGCCTACCCGCCATGGGCTGGCTGGGGAAGCAAAGGGCAGGGCACCTGGAGAAGATTAGGCAGGGAACCCAGGCATTTGTAAAATGCATTTCTTTAAAATGCGATCACGGGGAGGGGAAGAAAGGCATTTAAACCCAACACTGACTGGCAGGTCAGGCTGTTAGGTTTAAATGAGACCTTGTTTTCAGTATAGCAAAATGAACCTGAAAAAAGCCAGGTAATATCACCTTTTTTGGGCTCAGCTATACTAGTAGCCAAATCCAGCTCTCTGGTCTGTATTCGGCTTATGTGATACCTGAAAAATACTGACAGGGTATTTTTCCAGTTTAGCTATTGCTGAATGCACGCCCCTATTGGTTACTAGCTTCTATTGCTGAGAAGTCAGTTCCAGCCCAGATACAACTGCAATTTAAATAGCTCTGCATTAAAATAAAAATGGATCAATCCCAGATCATACATCCATGCCACTGGGAAACTTGGTCTTACTTCACCCAGGGCTTTGAAGGGTAAAGATCCGCAAGTATTAGTGACTCACCAATAAGAAACTGGAGTTAAGAGAGCTCTGCATATGCTTCTGAGTTCTGAAAGTGCTTCACCAGTGGCTACTAGCCATGGTAACTGAGGGGAACCTCCACATTCAGGGGCACTAAAACCCTCCGAATCCCACAGCCAGGAGGCAACATTGGGGGAAGGTCTCAGCCTCTATGCCCTGTTGTTAGCCGTCTAGAGGAAGCTGGTTAGTGTCAGCAAGCTGCCATTCTGTTTTCGGTGACCTCTGTGTACATATCCTTTCCCTGTTGCACCCGGCTTGGTTTCTATCATCCTACTCCTGCGTTGGAATGCAAAAGATAACTGCTGGAGGTTGTGTGGGGGAGAAGATGCTGTAATGCTTGGCTATTGCTTTTCCCATGACTACTGCACCTGTGTTATGTCTAATATCCTGCCTGGTTCCCATGGACTGGGCGCGCAACCGTTCCATTAGCCCGCCAGCGGGAAAGTTATTCATTGGACCTGTATCTCTTTGAAGTTCCTTTATTATGCTTGATCTAACTGTGTATCCCCAGTTCTAACAAAGAACGTGTTTGAGTATGTCGTCAACGCTTTGAAATAAATTTTGCTTTTCTTAAAACGTGGATTTATTCTCGATGCTTGGGGATCCAACAGTTAGCCACTGTGTGAGACAGGATGCTGGACTAGATGGACCACTGGCCTGATCCAGTAGGGCTCTTCTTTTCTTATACTGCAAATTTGATTTTTTTCATGTTCATTATATCTAGGCAACGTGTCGTCACTGAAGCACCACCAGAATGACATCTCTGTAGTGAAAACTGGCATGGATTGTGGACTGAGTTTTGAGAAGAACATAGAGTTTCAAGTTGGCGATGAGATTGTTTGTTTCAGTGAAGAGGAGGTTGAACAGACAATTTCTTGGAACCCAGGATTTTGAGTTGTACAGCAGCTGTGAGACACTGGAATTATGGCCTGAACTCTTAACCATTCATGGCATAATGGAGCCTTTTGGGAAGCAGGATGCATTGTAGAAGTTACAGTTCTGACACTAACATTTCAGAAATGGTTACTAGGGATTGAATGCCCATTTTTTCCACTTTGTGGCAGTTTAGCAGATTCGGATGCAGATGACAGGACAACTGTTTTACGAGCTGCAAAATGGGACATATGAGAAGTTGGTTGGATGCCTGATTTATACTACACTGGGGGCGGGAACTACAAGAGCTCAGTTCAGGCTGGACCAAAATATAATTTTGCTGAGCATATCTGCTTGAGTACTAATTAAAACATGGGGGGTGAAGGTGGTGGGGTAGTAGGGTTTTGTTCAAGCAGGAGTGTCTTTGCATTTAGGATACAGATCCACCTTATGCTTTCAGGAGCCATCCATAGGGTCACACTCTCCTGTAAAACAGTGATCCTGACTTTCCTCTACCTCACTGAAGCAGCAGGTATTTCAGGAAAATACCCATTTATTAACAGCTCTCTCCATAAAAGGACAATTGGCTTTGGAACCTCACAGCATTTTGTGACTGGCCCCTTTCACTGTGACAGCCATTTATGGCATCATCTACTCCTACTCGTCAAAATTCCAAAAGTAGTCACAGGTTCAAGACCCGATAGACAAACTTAAAGAACATGAACTAAAGAGTCCTTTTTGACCATTTTCAAATTCGTAAGTATGAGTTATACCTTTTCATCCTAATAATGAAGGTAATTCAAAGAATGCCCTGGATCAGTGAAAGATACGAAGTGTTAGCATAAACCCAGTAAAAGTATTCTGGTAAATATTAACAGCACACCTTTGATTCTCCCTTTTCTGTATGTATTCTTAAATCAGTTATAATTCAGGAAACTGTAGAGTCCTATTCTGTTGATCTTGATAAAAATGCTTCCCAGAACATGTGATGATAGTGGGAAACGGAGAAGAGAGGGAAGTGCTTCAATTGGTACCTGCTGAGTTCACAGTGAGACAGACACCCACCATATGGGTTGCCAGTAAGAAACTTTTTTAAAAAAAAGCAGCACTGCAGGAAAGGGCTTTTCGTCTACCAGTCTCCTTCAGTTGGCAACCCAAAAGGCTGCAGTTAAACAGGTGGTTAAATATTATGCCACCACACTTAAAAGCTACCTTTTCATCTGTTAATGGCATAACCACTGATGGAAAGGCAGGGAAGTGGCAGGTAAAATTATCCAGTACCCCTTACAAGTCTCCCCCAAGTGAGTGATTTTCTAAAAATTATTAAAAGACCCAACCACAGATCTATTTAATGGCGCCCTAGAAAAAAAAGGAAAAAACAGCACTATCATCACGTAGCAGGCACAGTGGCAGTTGAAAATCTTGCATGCCTGCTATAGACTGAGACATGAACTATGACTGAGCAGTTTGCTGGTTCAAATGTTAATAATTATTTTAAACATTTTTATCTAATCTCTCCATGTTCCATACTTACTTGAGAGCTAGTTTGGTGTAGTAGTTAAGTGCATACTCTAGTCTGGGAGAACCGGGTTTGATTCCCCACTCCTCCACTTGCGGCTACTGGATGACCTTGGGCAAGCCATAGTTCTGTCAGAACTGTTCTTGAAACAGCAGCTCTCGAAAGAGCTCTGTCAGCCTCACCTACCTCACAGGGTGTGTTGTGGGGAGGGGAAGGGAAAGGAGTTTGTAAACTGCTCTGAGACTCCAAGTGAAGGGCGGGGCATAAATCCAATCTCTTCTTCTGCTTTCTTCACAGACGGTATGGCAATCCCTACATTTAAACCTGCTTTGTCAGGTTGCCAAACATCCTCATTTATAAAATAAACTTAGACTATAAGAATATGACATGGACTGACTCCATGCAATCCCTGAAAACTATCAATTGGATAGCTAGAGCCAGAAAAGTGTATGCCATTGGTGTGAATGGGAAATGAACTGCACAGCCGTTAAGTAGAAACAAGAATGCAAATTCCAAGAAAACTGAGGAGGCTCTATTTTGATGTTATCCACGAGGATTTGTATTACTTCATTTGAAGTTGCTCACCCTATCTAAAGACACTAAGCCCCAGGGTCCCCTGACAGTCTGACCCAGTTTAAGAAACACTGCTCTTATGGTTACAAAGAGTCAGAGTGTTCATCCATTTGCCTGGCCACAGGAAATGGTAAATCAGATTACATTTAACCAAGATAAGGGAAGTCATAGAATTCAGGATCCCTGCAGATTTTTGGTTTCATAGGGAAGCATCCTCTGGCCACATAAGTTGCATAATGCCACCCTTCTCTTAATTGCTTGAAAATGGAGAAAGCAGAATGTGCCATTTGGCTTCAGAAAGCATTTACAACAATTGAGCACTGCAGTGTCTCAGTTCTTAAGTTACCAGAGCAGTGGGGTTAATTCCGTATCCTATGATGCTGTGGATAGCGTAAGAACAAAACTGTGTGGCAAGATGTTGTCCCGCCCACAGTCCTTTGTGACTAGCCAAAACACTCAGACACCTTTCCCTCTCTACACCTTCATTACTCCATTACTAGCTGATCACTCCCCCCACCCACTTGTTTGCCCTCATATAATCAGAGAAACAGTGACATTTGGAGATTTTTATTACAACAGACACATTTACTTGTCTTCTGGCTTGTTGAAGCAGTATGTCAAACAGCACTTGCCACAATAGTGTCTGTCAAAGTGGCTAGCCATGAACACTCCAGCCCCGCATTCTTCAGAGGGACACTCTCGCCGCAGACGGCTGATTTTGCCATTCTCATCCACCTGCAAGAAGAAAAGCACTGCATTACAGCCCCTCCCCCAACTTTCAAATACAGAAGCTCAGCTCATAACCACCTCAGAGCACAAGTTGTTAGAGCAATTAACTTTCCCCTGCAGCAGTGTGCTGTAGCGGCGCAAGTTTCTGATTAGGATGTGGGAAACCCAGCTTCAAATCCCCACACTGCCATGGAAGCAAACTGAGAAGCCGCCGTGGGCAGTCACCCTCTCGGCCTCATCCACCTCAGTGGGTTGTTGGGAGGATAAAGTGTAGGGGGGAGAATGATATATAAAAGATACTTCCAGTTCCCTTTGGAAAGAAAAGTGAGATATAAATATCTAAATTTCATTTGGTATGACTACCCTAACTAGTAGTATGAATCAGCTGAACTGATGTATTATTGCCCTTTCTGACTAATTTGCTCTGTTTATGAACAGACGTACAAAACAGGTAATGGTCATCTGAATAAGACTGGGTCATATTCAAGTTGGTCTCTGTGTGTATACAAATGCAACAGCTTACGACATCCATATCCACTGAGAACTTGCAAATCTTAAATTATTCCTACCACTGCGTGACCCCAGAAATCTTCTGGTAATGGAAGTTGTTCTTACCTTGTAATATTTAAGGACAGCAAGCTTCACCTTCTTTCTCTTATGCTTGTTCTTCTTTGGGGTGGTGTAGGACTTCTTCTTTCTCTTCTTTGCACCACCACGAAGTCTCAGCACAAGGTGAAGGGTAGATTCCTGTTTTTAGTAAGCAAACTTTGTTAAGAGAAGATGGACACACATATTTTTGACTACATAGTGGTAACATGCACTCATGTAATTATGCAAGAGTCAAGCCTCCAGTTTGTTCCCACATGTTAAGGGGCACCTAGTTGACATCCTTTCTCCCTGTGCCACCCTCTGTCCCCAACCATGGAGGAAGGAGGAAAGCTGCTCAAAGACAGCCCCCCCCAACCCCTATGTCAGCGAGGTGGTGAGTCAGAAGATCGTAATCAACTGTGTCCAGTGCTGCTGTGAGATCAAGCAACAACAGCAGCGCTGACCCGCCTTGATCCAGCTGTCTGTGGAGATCGTCTGTCAGGGTGACCAACACCATGTCCGTCCTGTTGCCGAAGGCGGAAGCCGGACTGGAATGGATCCAATGCCAGTGTGTCATCCAGGAAACACTAGAGCTGTTCTGCTACCGCTCTCTCCATAGGACCCAAAGATGGCTTTTTCAAGAGTGGTACTGCCACCACCACTTTCAGACCCTCCGGACAGACCCCCATCCCCAGGGACAGATTAACAATGTCCATCAGTGGGCCCTGTATCCTCTCACCACGAGTTTTCACCAGCCATGAGGGACACGGATCCAAGAGGCAAGTGGTTGGCCTAATAGTACCCAGGATCCTGTCAACATTGGCAGAGGAGAGTAGACTGAAGTTACCAAAAACTGAATCTGAAGATGGCCAAGGGGCGTCCAGTTACGTACTGTATCAACACTGGCAGCGACCAGACTTAACTTGCAAATGCCTCACAGCTGATGGCCAATTTACTAGCCTTTTGGTTCCTCTGAGAGGGTTGTCAAAGATCTAATTACCCTAAATAATTGTGCCGGGCATGAGCCAGTGGACGCAATGGACGCTGTACAGAATTCCCTCTTCGTAGCCTTCACTGCCACCTCATAGGCTTTCATAAGCATCCTAAGAGATGTTTTTGAAGCTTCATCGCAAGCACACTGCCAAACTCACTCAAGTCATCTGAGTTCTCGTTTCATCCCCCTAAGTTCCACAGTATACTAGGGAAATGTCTTAACAAGAATGGAGAGGACTTCGTGGAGCGACTGCATCGATGGCTTCAGAAAAACGGGACTCGCTGAAAATGAGTCACTGAAAGCCATCGGATCCCATGGAGCATTCTGGAACCCAACTGGGTCCATTAGTCTCTGCAGGCGAGCGTAAATTAGCTTATCACCAAGACGGGATAGTTGCAGGTCTGAAGCCTCATCAACATGGATGTTGAAGTCCCCCAAAACTAATAGCCTTGGGAACTCCAAGGCCCAACCAGCTACCACATCCAACAGGCTCAGCAGGCTGTGCACAGGGCGATCGGTACACCAGACATACAGCCAAGCTCTCCTCAGTGTCCCACACTAGACCAACACAATTAATACCAGCAATCTTTGGGACAGGTTTGAAGGAGAAATTATGAGTATTGTGACCCCACCCACCCCTGAGTTCGGGACTGATGGAGGACAGAGAAACCTTAAAATACACCTTAACATACACAGAAGGCAGATACCTTTTGAATGTTATAATCAGATAGAGTGCGCCCATCTTCCAATTGTTTGCCAGCAAAAATCAATCGTTGTTGATCAGGAGGAATTCCTAGGTAAATAAAAAAATACATCAACTTACTGCCACAAGTAGTTTAAAATAACATCAAAACATGCCAGACATCCCAATCTCATCAGATCTCGGAAGCGAAGCAGGACCATCCCTGGCAAATATTTAGATGGGAGACCTCAAAAGAATACCAAGGCTGGGAGGCCAGAGGCAGGCTATCTAGCCACTTCTTTGAATGTCCTCCATGCCCCAGTAGGAGTTGCCAGATGTCATCATGCCATGCAAAAAAAACAAAAAAACCCCACAACCACCCCCCCCCAAAAAAAAACCACATGCCAGACATGGTACCACACTAATCTCAAATTTGCTATTCATTTTATAAAGCAGGATGAGGCAGTATTTATTAAATCTCCACTAACTGGAAACCACTTATGTTAGAACAAAGGATATCCCTTTGGCTACCTATTATGATCAGTTGTATCTGACAGTCTCCACACAACCATACCTTACCATTTACCTTTGTGTCCATTAGAAAAGAGTTTAGCCGTGATTCCTATAGATTATTTATTAAGTCAAGTGGTGCGTTGTTTGTTCTAAACCTTCTGCCTATCCTCTCTGGACAGCCCTACATTTTCAGAATATATTTTAGGCACTTAGGTGTACCTCTCCAAAGTAGTTTTATTCTCTGCATTTTCCCATACTAAAGAGCCCTGTATGTATCTGTCTATACACACTTTTAGTACTTTGGATTTTGCAGCATTTCTTTGTTTTGGGTATTCAGAGAGGCTTCGTTTTTTGTGGGGCGGGGGGGAGGGAGTTCCTTTTCCTAACTGCTAATGTTCCATTTGCAACAGCAAACTGGATTGATTGAGAGCTGTCTGTGACACAGGATTTTTTCCCTCCCAACTGCTTACAATTAATTCAGAACCCGAAGTACATGAATAGCAAATTTACTGCACACTGAGAAAAATTACACCCTGCGTGTTAACACTGAATTGTTATGCAGCCTTTCTGTAATTACTTTTAAAAAGAATAAATATCAAACAAATCTTCTGCAGGGCGACCCTGTGGATTTTTCAAGGCAAGAGATGTTCAGAGGTGGATTGCCATTGCCTGCCTTCGCATCACAACCCTGGTATTCCTTGGAGGTCTCCCATCCAGATCAGGCAAGCCTGGGTGATCCAGGTCAGGGCCTCTAGAGCATTAGCACACAAGCCTCTCTCACCCCAGTTGCATGTCAGTCTTGTGGCTTTCACTGGAACTTACTCTCAAGTATGCACTGCCAGGATAGCATATTAAGCTCCTTTCTAGCAAGAAACTGAAATGCTCCACCTCAAAGTGGGAGCATAATAGAAGCATAAGACTTCCCAATCTACAGTGAAACCTACCTTCCTTGTCCTGGATTTTGGCCTT